ACCGGCGGCAGGGTGAGCTGGCCGGTGATTTCGGGGGGCCGCATGCTGAAGGTGTCCTCCCCGAGGCCGTCCTGCTCGCCGACAGCGGGGTACGGGGGGGGTGGGTAGGGGGGGTACTCCTCCGCGAAGCTCTCGGGGGGCGGGGGCAGGCCGGGCTCCTGCTCCTCCTCCTCGCCAGCAGGGGGCGGCGGCGGCGGCAGAGGGAGGCCGTGAGCGTCCAGGAGCCCCTGGGGATGAGCGGGAGGCGGGTGGGAGGGGGGCGGCGGAAGGACGAAATGCTCTGTGGGCTCCTGGGCGGGCGGCGCTTTGGCAGCGGCCGGGACGTCTGTCGGGGCCGCGGGCGGAGGCGCCTCTTTTTCCGCGGGGCCCGCGTCCGCGCTCTGGGCACCCGCGCGCTCCTGCTCGGCCCCGGACTCCGGCTGGAAGAAGGGAGCAGTGATGGAGCCGATGGTCTCCATGGCGGCCAGCGTCGTCTTCTGGTACAGCAGCTTCTGGATGTTGGGGCCGCTGGGGCCCTCGGGCTCGGTGATGGAGCTGCGCTTCTTCAGGGGCCGCGGCGCGTTGTGCAGCTTCTTGCGCAGGGCCTCCAGGTCCACGTCGCTCTGGTTGCGGTAGGGGTTGGAGATGAAAGGCAGCAGCTTGGTGGGGCTCAGCGGCCGGGGGATGCGCTCAGTCTCCTGGGGCTCGGGCGGAGGGGCTCTCCCACTATGATCCGTCTCCGTGTCCAGGCCACCGGGCCGGTCCTGATAGGGATTCTCCGGATGCATGGCCGGAACTGGCTGCTGCCCGGATCCGTTGCCACTGATGACAGGCTTTCCGTAAACTGCCAAAAGAGAAGCACCAGGGATAAGGCGAGGAAACGGCAGAGAAACTGCCACACGGCTGATCTGCCAGACATTCAGTCTGCTGTGCAGGGTCATGCCCAGAAAAGGCTGAGGCTACAAAGCAAATGCATGTCATGGATAACCAAAAATGCTGAATTTCTACATATTCATCCATACTTTAATAAACCTGAGCATTTTTCAGCTTGCCACACAACACGAGAAGGATTTCCCACTACAGCAGATTATCCAGAAAAGCCTGTGAGATCTGCTGTGGGATTCAGGACAAATAAGTCTCTTTCCTATCCGGCCTGGGGTTGGGCTGTGTAAGGGTGGGTTCTGGCTGCATCCCACTGAACGCTGGAAACGGACACTGCTTCAGCCACACAGCCCGTCAGTGGAAGGAGCTCACGAGTGGTCTCGGGAGCAGGCTTGCACGTTTCTGCTCTGCACAGGAATGCTGGCCTGACAGATGTGCCACGCATGACTGCTTCAATGGGCTTGTTTCAGATTTTATACATCTGACTGTGCAAATAAAGTCAGGGCTTTGTACTCCCTGCAGGGGGGGTCACAGCAGTCTCCCTTCACCCTCCTTCACTGCTGGCCAGATTCAGCTCGTTCTGAGTCTGGAGGATGTTTCTCTGTAACACATCGCTTTCAACAGGTCTAACACTGACAGTAGCTTATTTGGAAGAACAGTTAAATTCTTCCAGTGCGAGATTACATGCCGTCGTGCTTCTTCAGTACAGATCACTCTGCCCCTGAAGGCTGTAACAGCAGCCCTGTCCCTGGACGAGGTGCCATTCAAGTGCCCAGCAGTCACCCGTCTGGACTCTAACAGCTGGCTGCCAGGGCAGGTCAAGCCAGAGCTGCGGACACTCCCACTGCAGCTGCCAGCTTCCAACTTCCAATGCCCCTTTAATCATCCTCTCCAGATCTGGTGGCAGCAGATCACACATCAGCAGACAATTCTTTAAAAAAACAGGATCATCTGAGGTTTAAGATTGATTCCTGCCTTCCACCCCATTTTCTCTCAAAGGTCTATGCTGGTTAACAAATGATTCTCCTAATGAATTGGGTGGAGTGGTGGATCTGTGGCTACGGATCTGCGCCTGTGGCTGGAAGGTTGCCAGTTCAAATCCCGTGGCCGGCAGAGGAATCCTACTCTGTTGGGCCCCTGAGCAAGGCCCTTAACCCCAGCTGCTCCAGGGGCACTGTACAATGGCTGACCCTGCGCTCTGACCCCCAGCTTCTCTCCCTGTCTGTGCGTCTCATGGAGAGCAAGCTGGGGTATGCGATAAGATAAATTCCTATGCAAAAAATTGTATATGGCTAGTAAAGCGATCTATCTAAAAACCGAGAACAGGTGGGTGATGGGAGCTTGGAACATGCCGTTCCGTGAAGGTGCTAAAGCCGATACCCTGGTTTATTTCAACAAACAGCTGGATGAGACCCTGGGATCCATCAATTGCTAACTATTAAACGAGCCAAATGGACTGAACTGCTTCTTCTCGTGTGGAATCTTTCTTTCGTCCTTACGGGGAACTAACTCCCTTAAAAGCCAGTTCGACATGAGTGCTGTTTTAGCACAGGGCGGGCACTGTGCCACCCCAGGAGGGATGTGAACCCGCTGCCCTCGGCCTGGCGCCAGGGAGGGGTGTCCGGGACTCACCGCTGACGAAGGGGTTGGTGCGGCTCTGGGCCCGGGTCAGCGCGCTCTGCACGGCCTGCTGGAAGTTCTTGCCCAGTGTGGGCTGCTGGGTGTACATGGAGTAGATGGAGCTGGCCGCCACCGTGGGCGGCTTGCAGAAGGGCTGGGGCGCCGGGTCCCGGGCCGCCACCTCGGGGGTGAAGGGCCGCACGGTGGCCGCCGGCGGCGCCTCCTGCTTGGAGGGCAGAGGCAGGGTGTGGGCGGACTGCTGCGCCGCCGGCTGGCCCTGCCCGGCCGGCTTGGATTTGCCAGGGAAGGTCCCTGTGCTGGAGGCCGGCCTGCCGACTGCAGCCTGGCCGGGCAGGCTGACCTGCTTGGGCTTGCTGGGCACGGGCGGCGGCACCTTCGCGGGGGCCTTGGCGACGTTCTGGGGAGCCAGAGGAGAAACAGCTGTTACTCTCCACACTGTCAGCACAGATCCCCACAATCACACACAGCCCATAGCCAGCGGCTGCTGTCCAGCTCCTCCAGAAGCGGAGTCACTCTCCAGGGATCATTTAAAACTAAAACTTAAAATGGGGGAACTGCGGTCCCAATTTTTTAGACGGATTATTAACTCTCGGTAACAAAATAAATGAACTGACTTTATAGAAAGAAATGACCAATTTCGAATGAAGCACAAGGTCATGAACTTTGTGAAAGTCGCCATGGTAACGCAACTCGCCTTCGAGTTCCCACGAATTTGGGATGTGAAGCGGCCCTTCCTGCTCACTAGTCTCTGTAATGACTGAGGTACTGTGATGGAGAGCGAATAAGTACAGGGTGTGCAGCAGATATTTCACTGCAGAAATGTTCCAACGTGATCTGAATGCAGAGTTAACAAGTAGTATTTGTAAGCAAAACTATCTAAGAAGTCTAGAGCAATATTTCTGCTGGATTAAAAGAGATGGATTCATGAGCCGGCTTGGTTACAGTGGAATAAGGCCACAATACATCACCGGAAGTCTTGTTGCTATCTTCTGAATTGCAGACTACGGTGCTGCGCAAACCTGGAAATGTAATCCATTTTGTGATGTAAAATGGAGGTTATTGTTTTCCTTTTTCCTGTTGTCGCTGTTTGAAATGCCCTCAGCAATGCTGATTCTTTCTAACCCAGAAATATAAAACTAGCGTCGCAGTTCCCCTTTAATTACTTCTAAAACATTGTAAATGATTACCCATCAAGGCCCAAGACTCTTTCTGAGCCGACTGGCTGCCGAGAGCAGCTTGCGAATCACTGACAAAGAGCCAGATCTGTGGCTGTCTGAGACACTTTTAGCCAAGACCTTTACGAAGCTGAATGCAAGTCAGTTCAATCGACTGAAACCGAATACCCGAAGACCCGAGCACGCTTTTGCCTAAACGAGATCACCAGGAAGACAGCTGCACTGAAAACATTTCACCGGTTACACCGACAGCGGTTTCGGCCGTGTGCTTTCGCTGCCAGAAAGCAGGAAGCGGGCGGCGAGACGGGCGCGGCCAGTACCTGGGCGTCCCTCACGAGGTCCTCGCTGCTCTGGTTCTTGCGGAGAGACGCGGCGGAGGGCGGCCCTGGTGTCGGCTCGCTGGACTCCAGCATGGAGAAGGGCCGGACCTTCTTGTCCTTTTCCCTCTTCAGCACCTCTGTGTCCTCTGCAGCCACAAGGGAAAGAGGAATCAGGAGTCAGACCAGAGTCAGAAATGAACCACAGCTGTCCTGGAGCTGCAGTTCATACAGACAGGAGGAAACACCTGTGGCCATTATACCCGCAGCCTCCTATAGTCCAGAAATGATGCCAACTATCAGTCCTGAGTAACAGTACTGAATCCGAGCCTCGGATCTGTTTGTTACTTATTTGAGCCTGGCCACGCACTGCAGTCAGCAGAGTAACAGGACAGGGAGCCACGGGGGGGCCCCAGGGGTGCAGCGGGACAAGGGGTCACCTTGCTCCGCATTGCTGTGGGGGCCCATCCTGGGCAGCGTGGAGGACGAGCTGTGGCTGCCGCTGGACTCCGAGCTCCACTCCGACAGGGACTGGCCGGTCTTGGCTGACCCCACGCCTGCAAGTCACAAGAAAACATGATGCTACCGACCAGCTCTCTGCAGTCACCTCCAGTCCCAGCTCCAGACCCCCACAGCCACTGCTTCAAGCGACACGTCAGACTGGAATAACCTTTAGACCCCTGCTTTAACAACTAAAGATACATTAAACCTAGTAACAACAGTGGCCACGTACACCCATCGCTACACATCCACACACAACAGGAACTCAAGGTCCAGAGCCCAGGCACTGCACTGAAACATCGCTTCATGGTAGAAAACAAAAGCTAGCTGAGCAGAACAAGCTCAGTATGTACCTTTTCTCTTATCCCACAGCTCTTTCAGAGATTTGAGCACGAACATAGCTTCTAAAATTGCACAGTTTGGAAGAAAGGCAAACAAAAATAAAATGAAAATAAAACAACCCCTCTTAAACACTGAGCAGACAAGCTCAGAATCCACAGGAGAACCTGAAGTCTCTCAACCACGGCTTCTCAAGAGGCCAGGATGAGGAAAGCAGGGCTGTGCGCCGTGAAAACTCCCGCCTGCTCTTTCCTCTCACTGCCTTTTCGCTCACCATGCAGAAACAATTGCATCCAACATCACGGCAGGCTTGTGAAAACCTGTTACTTTTAACTCCTGCCTCTCTGTGCACATGCCTCTTAAATCAAAGACATACTGGAGGCATATCAGAGAACCCCCATCTTTATTGATTGACCGGTGATCTCATCCCTGGGAGATCTCTTTAAAGAATGATCAGAGCTGACTCATATCTGAGAAATGTCCACTCTCAGGCAGGTTTCTTCCCGTCCTCATTATAAGCGCTGCTTTACATCACGGAACATCATGTGCTTACATGCCATATCTCCCATTTACTTTTCAAACATGCACAACAAGTCTGTAGGCATGCAAATTTCCTCTCAGGGACCATTAATATCCTCCCCATTAGTTGGGGAAGATTTCTTTGGCTGACAAGTGCAGAGGCAGGAGGGATGAAAAGGCAATGCTTTCAGCCACTGTGCACACAATACCAGGAAACAAGTCACCCCCCCCGAGCTGCCCCAGGAGGAATACTGCAGGATGAATGGGATTGGGTCAAGGACAACCCTCAGGTGCTCAAGCACGGATCCTGTCGGGCAATGCCCTGACCCCTTCTGCTGTGATCTGAACACAACTCCTTCTCCGAGCAGGGCACACAGCTGTCTGCACCTTATGTTTCTTATGTGCAGTTGTAGTAGCACACATGGCCAGTAGGTGGAGACAGTCAAGAGGGGAAGGCAAGCAGAAAGCACAGCCACCCAGGCGCAAGAGAACTGCGACAGGGAACTGCAAAGCTACAGGAATCAGGGGTCATCTCCTTCTCCAGCTCTAACGCACGCAGAGGAGGACTCTGCCCAAGGTCAGGGGCGCCCTGGCCCGCTCCACCCCTGCGCAGGGACAGGGACACAATTCCAATCACATTCCTGCACCAGTCACAGTTTCCAGCTCCCAGCAGCCTATCACAACTCCCTTTCGCTCTCCTGTCTAATCGGACACTCAGGCTTCAGTTCTTCCTGTTCAGCTGCCATGTAGCTCACCGAAACGGCGCCCAGCTCAGGTGGCTTCAATAGGACTGCGAACATTGTGAGCAGAAAAAAAACAGCGGGAGGAACATGCGGCAGAGCTATATGGCTCTGTGGCTAAGGATCTGCGCCTGTGGCTGGAAGGTTAGAGATTCAAATCCCACAGCCAGCAGAGGAATCCTCCTCCGTCGGGCCCCTGAGCAAGGCCCTTAACCCCAACTGCTCCAGGGGTGCCGTATAAATGGTTGACCCTGTGCTCTGACCCCCAACTTCTCTCTCCTAGTCTGTGTGTCTCATGGAGAGCAAGCTGGGGTATGCAAAAAGATAAATTTCTAATGCAAGAAATTGTATATGGCTAATAAAGTGATCTTCTGTTATCTTAAAAAATACAGCTGAACCTGTGGCTATTCACAGCACGGCTCGATCCCAAGACTCTTTTCATCTATCCGTTATGTAAATCAACAGAAGACCAAAGGGCATTCATGACCTTAGATGAGGAAAACAGGAAAAGAGGGGGAGCTGAGGGGCAACCAAGAGGTCACAGCACCACGTCTGCAATCCAGTGGACACACAGCCCTACTCGCGCCCCCCCAGGACAGACTGCAGAGGCAGGTCCCAGCCTCGCGTTTCAAGTCCCAGAGCCCAGCAGCGGTCAGTGGGAGAGGCCCAGCAGCGGTCAGTGAGAGAGGCCCAGCAGCGGTCAGTGGGAGAGGCCCAGCAGCGGTCAGTGGGGGAGGCCCAGCACATGTCAGGCCCAGCAGCGGTCAGTGGGAGAGGCCCAGCAGCGGTCAGTGGGAGAGGCCCAGCACATGTCAGGCCCAGCAGCGGTCAGTGGGAGAGGCCCAGCAGCGGTCAGTGGGAGAGGCCCAGCAGCGGTCAGTGGGAGAGGCCCAGCAGCGGGCTACGCTGGAGTTCTTGTGCAGAGCGGCGCCGTACCTGAGGGGGGCCTGCTAGCGGGCGCCCTGGCCGGGGCCTTCAGCGCATTGTCCTGCATGGGCAGAGGGAGGGTGCCCCCTGGGTAGGCTGGCTTCAGGAGCTCGTGCCTCACAGGCCCACGGGGCATGGTGGACGACTGGACATAGGGCTCCACAGCGGCCACCCGGCTCTGGGAGGAGGAGGTCTGCGGAGGGCCGTCCGGAGGGGTCTGGACACACAGGGACAGAAGAATAAATCAACCACAGAGAAAACAGGGCGAGAGGAAGCATGAAAAAAAAAAACAGGTCTGGAAGCAAAGACCAGGATGCTGATGCATTTCCTTTTCTTCAACGAAAAACAGGATCAATTATTTTTCTTCACTCTAATTTGAATCTGCCAGCAGAGAATCAATTCGGCTTCACCGCCGAAGGCCTGGTACATGAGAATATGAGAACAGTGGCAAATGTGAGGAGGCCATTCAGCCCCTTTCTCGTTCGCAGGTCGGCCACAAGGGGCACTGCTGAGCTTCAGAGCTGTCTCAGCAGCAGCACTCTGTGACACAACCTCTGAAACCCTCTCCAGACTGGCAAACAGGTAACACTGTGTGCTCACAGGGCACTGCTGGTACAGAGAAAACTGATTTTCCCGCTAAATTCATAGCAATACTTTTAAAGTGTAGTATTCAAGACACTCCTGAATTCCTTAATAGTTTAGATTCCTTCACATAAAATTGTCAGGCATCTAATCTCAGCTAATTTGCTTAACATTTAAAATGACAAGGGATCAAAAACATGTTCGCAGACACGGCTATCTAAGATGAACACAGTTAAAGCCAGCAGTTCAGGAGCCTGTGTCTCAGGACTTTCAGATATGTTCGAAAAAGTCTTAAAGTTTGCTGGGTGTCTGGACTCCTTCTGATATTCCTCAGCTAACAGAACTGAGATCAAATTAAATTCTGCCGTCGCATGGTTTTCAGATATATTAGCACTTTACGCTCGCCTTTCCCCTGACAGTAACTGACCTTAACAAATAACCAGCAGCATGTTTTAACGGAGAGAAACTCTTCTCATGTAGAACTGTTTTATAAAATGGACACGGTTGTGTTAATAAACCGTCGTTCCCACGCCTGACACTGCTGAAACCACATGGTTAACACTGAAGCGGGGACAAGAGCACAGGCTAGCTCATTTCTCCTGAAACCCCCGCTGCTCCAGTCAGCACGGAAACACCGATATTAAAACTGACTGGCACACAGACGAGAGCCGGAACTTTCCACACTGGATGTGCAATTTTTACCGAACAGCT